CTGTGGAGAAAGGGGTTTGGGTATAGCAAATTCTGACCTATTTTGTCGTTCTTGAAATTAGCATCGTTGTACCATAACACAGCAATGCGTTCTTGTCTGTTGTTGTCCTCGGTGAGACTGAGGGGGTGCCCATTTCTGTAAACCTACCTAAGTTGAAGCCGCAGCAAAACGCCTGTCTTGCTGGATCCGTCGCAGAAGGGCCAAGAAAGGAGGATTTAGGAGGGGTCGGTGGGTAGGGGGTAGTTTTGAGCCAAGTTTCCTGAGATATGCATACCCATGCAGGCTTAATTTTGCAGAACAAAAAAACACACAAACAAACAAAACAAAAAACCAGGCTGGAATCATTTCATTGAAATTTCACGAACCACGACGGTCATGGAGCAGTTAGTTCTCTTGAAAATGTGGTTCACCAAACGTTGGGAAGGTAAGTGTTTGTCGGTATTCCGTGTCAAGCCGAAACAGATGGGACAGATCTCTTACCAACACAGTTGAAGTGCATTGACTGAAAATCAGTCAGGAGACGAGTGCAGGACAGAGAAGCTTTTCTTCGTCTGGTTACCTCTTATCTAGCCTTCAGTCCCTCTGGTTTGCAGCCCCCCCCCCAAAAAAAACCCTGACCCGTTCCAAAGTTGTCTCACTCACTCAGTCTCCTCCAGGACTGCTGTTTACATACCGTAAGAGGCACATATAATTTGGATTCAATTAACGCCACGTCTAATGCCGTCCTGAGCGTGAAAGCACACTGATAAATCAGACCTGGAGAAGCTGTACCTGTTGAATTAACTACCTGTTGTGCAACTCCTGCAAGATGAAATGTCAAGGTTAAAGAGAAACACTCTGCCAGGGGAAAATAAGTTTTTTTCCAGGTGTTGCTGGCCCACAGTTTCCATCATCCCTAGCCAATACGGCCGAGGGCAAGGAATCATGGGCATTGTAGTCCAATCACACAGGCTGCCAATGGGCTACTGAGTCAGTGGTTCCACATCGTTTTGGGCCAGGTTGTAAGCCATACACGCCCATCTTTGTCCTCAAGGGAGTTGGGCTCCCTGCGTGAAGTTAGTTTGGCCCTGAAATAAAGGGGAGCCTTCCTTGTTATGGAGATTTGGCATGGGGTGGGGGTTCAAAAACCAGGGTGTTTCTGTGGCCACCCTGCTTGCCCCAGGCATTTTCCTGGCCCTTGGGAAGAACCCTTACAGAGGTCAAGAAAGTGCTAATTAGTTTATGATCCCAGAATCCAGCCAGGGAGCTACTAAGACCCCATAATTCCATCCATCCATCCATCCATCCATCCATCCATACATCCACCACACACACACACACACAAACACACACACACAACACACACATGCACGCGCGCGCACACACACACACACACACACACACACACACACACACACACACACACACACACACACACACACCAGAAACCACAGCTCTTTCTGGCTTTGGCCGGGGAGGGTTAACAATCCGTGGGTGGTCAACTCCCCCCCACTCCCCGCAGTCTCCAAATGGGTCCACTTTGCTTCTCACGCATCTCCTAACTTTGTTCCTTGATGGAGATTAAAGCTGATGAGGAATTTTTGGGTTTTAATTACCCCCCGCGGTGGTGCGGAAGACAGTGTGGGCTGACTGAAGGGTACGAGGAGACAGCGGGGCCCATCAGCCACAGAGGCCGGCCAACCGCCTGCCCGCCCCCTTCATCCCTGATTTTCTGCTAACGAGGACTGGAAAGGTTCCAGCTGAGCCGCCTTCTCCTTTTCCCTGGTTATTCCCCTGGGGCCCAGATCCGAAGAGAAAGCGCCTGGGCAAAGCCACACCGATATGATCCCCCAGCACGGCCAAGGGAACTGCAGATTACGAGGACCATGGCCGGTGGATGCTGGGTGTGGTAGTTCTCCAAAGAGAGAGGGAGAGAGAAAACTGTGCTATTGTCCAGTTTAATTAAGAAGAACCATAACCGTCAAACGGCAGGACTGGAAGGGACCCCCAGAGATCATGAAGTCCAACCGCTGTCTAGGAGGCACGACGGGGGAATCGAACCTCCCAACCTGAATGATCCAGCAGTTCTCTTCCACCGGATCATTTCCCCCCCTTACAACTTTGAGTGCTTCAGTTTGGTCTTACAGCAGGTGACAACAGACCTCACCCCGTCACATTATTTCACAATCAGATTTCCCCCCCCAAAAAACAAGCCAAAATGGAACCACACGGCAAGCAACGTTTATAAGTTGTTTTTTTAAAAATGGGGCAACTGCACCAGCTGTTTGGAGGAACCTCAGGCCCCTCTTGACACTCTTGGGAAGGGCAAAGTCGGGAGAGGGTGACGAAATTAAATGCACAGCTGGAGAGACGAAAAGAGAAAGTCACCCACGCAAGACGCCACCGAAGACGCCAATGCTGGTTGACGGCTGCCTTGCAGGAGGCGAACTCAACTGTGGGCAGAGGGGAGCGATCTTTGGAGTTTTGCGACTTCATGAGGTTGTTTGCTGTCCTTCTGTGCCACGAAGGCGCTTCCCACTTATGGCCATGCTATGAATAGGCGACCTCCGAAATGTCCCGTCCTAAACAGGGAGGCGAACTCAACTGTGGGCAGAGGGGAGTGATCTTTGGAGTTTTGTGACTTCATGAGGTTGTTTGCTGTCTTTCTGTGCCACGAAGGCGCTTCCCGCTTATGGCCACGCTATGAATAGGCGACCTCCGAAACGTCCCGTCCTAAACAGGCCTGCTTGTGAATTCAAGGAGTCCGTCCGTAAACTCAAGCCTGTGGCTTCCTTCAAGGAGTCCGTTCATCTCATATTCAAGTCTTCCTCTTTTCCTGCTGCCTTCCACCTTTCCCCGCATCCTTGTCTTTCCCAGGGAGCCACGGCCTGCCTCCAAGGAAGGTCGCCGTGCGGTCACAAGAGGCTGCAAAAGCATTGCATTGGAAAATCCCTTAGGGATTTTGGGAGTTGTAGTCCAAAAAGCTTTCCTCCCATCCTCTGCGGAAAGCGAGGATGCCCTTAAGTGAGCTGAGTCCTTGAATGCCCTTAAAGCGGCTGTTTCAGCAGTTGGGTGCTTGACCGGGTCACTCGTTAAAAGGCCCTGATGGACTGGATAGAATATCCAGAGGCGAGATGGCGGCGGGACCACGAGTACGAGGTGGAAGGTTCCGGAAAGCAAACCCTGCAAAGGCCCAGTGTATTTGGCCCAAAGAACAGATGATGTAAAGGGAGATATGTGATCATCTTTGAATAGCTGAGAGGACTCCATTGTCACTCTGTGCCATCAAAACTGGGTAGCGGAGTGGTTTCGGCAGAGGCTGCGAGTTCGATTCCTGCCGTTATTGCCTTTTCCAGCGAGGCTGGCCTTTTCACACTAAGTCCAAAACACCCGTGTCTTAGTCGTCATTCTAGCTTCTAAGAAATGCTTCGGCTTGATTTGATCCACCACCCCACCCCACTCACCCACCCCCAAAATTTGCTTTTCTGGCTGTTCATCGGAATCTACGAAAATCTCCTCCAACACGTTTTGAATCAGTCAGCACTTTTTCCTCTCCGTTTTCTTAACGGCCTAGCCTCTACGTCCGTAAATAGTAATTGGGAACATCAAAGTAGGTCCCTCGGCAGCAACACCTCCCGTCACTTCTGTGATTGTCTGGGCAAGTGTAAATTCAGTTAAACTCTCCAGTCCTCACTGGTTATATACTTAAAACCAGCCAAAAGGTGGCAAAAGAGTCACTTACTTCGTAAGGGCCATACAGAGACTGAAAAACAAGGGCTGGTAAATTTAATAGGTACAAAGATGGGCACAAACCGGTTCGTCTCAGTTTGCCCCAGTTCGTAAAGGTAGGAGTACGGGTGCTGCCACTCCCCTTCCCTGCCTCCTCAGCTAATCAGCCCCTCACCTTGCTGGCTTTCCCCCCGCCTCCTCAGCTAATCTCCCAGTCACAAGCAAGAGCACAGGCTTCTCTGCCACGCCCCCTTGGCTGATCTGCCAGTCAGAGAAAAGGGTGGGGCAGAGAAGCTTGAGCTGCTGTCGGGATTGGCAGATCGGTTGAAGATCATGGAGGCGGGGCCTGACGAGGGGCTGACTGAGCCAGCGGTGCAGACGCCTTGATGAACGGGGATCTCAGCTAATCTCCCAGTCACAAGCAAGAGCACAGGCTTCTCTGCCACGCCCCCTTGGCTGATCTGCCAGTCAGAGAAAAGGGTGGGGCAGAGAAGCTTGAGCTGCTGTCGGGATTGGCAGATCGGTTGAAGATCATGGAGGCGGGGCCTGACGAGGGGCTGACTGAGCCAGCGGTGCGGACGCCTTGATGAACGGGGACGAACCGGTTCGTGCCCATCTCTAGTACAGAGCCTGGGCGAAGTCACTCTTTAGATACCACAACCTGCAAAATCGACTTGTACTCACCAGGCACTGCAAAAAGTTGTACTTTTCCAAGTTATGCTCTGAATTTTTACAAAACTCTCAGACAAAAGGGTTAGAACTTGAGCTGCTCACGGCTTGTCCAGGGGTGGTTGTAGAATTTATTTATTTATTTATTTATTATTTATTTATTCGATTTTTACCCCGCCCCTCTAGACTACGTCTACTCGGGGTGGCTTACATAGGTTAAAACACATTAAAATAAACATCTATAATACAATTATTACAATTAACTCTAACCAGCTTGTTTCCAAGATGGCAAAATTCAGAAAGAAGAAAAAGAAAAAGAAATCACTTGATTGACTGGGGGGAAGGCCTCTTTAAATAACCATGTTTTTAATTGGCTTTTGAAAACATCCAGCAAGGGTGCCAGCCGGATTTCAGTAGGGAGGGTGTTCCACAGCTGAGGGGCAACCGCCAAGAAGGCCCGGTTTCTAGTTTTCTCCTTCCGGTGGATGGCAAAATTCAGAAAGAAGAAAAAGAAAAAGAAATCACTTGATTGACTGGGGGGAAGGCCTCTTTAAATAACCATGTTTTTAATTGGCTTTTGAAAACATCCAGCAAGGGTGCCAGCCGGATTTCAGTAGGGAGGGTGTTCCACAGCTGAGGGGCAACCGCCAAGAAGGCCCGGTTTCTAGTTTTCTCCTTCCAGTGAGGGTCATCCCTCCAAAGGGAAGGGAGTCACCTATGCCGCTGATGGAGGGACCGCCCCCCCCCTCAAGACCTCCGTCTTGTCCGGGTTCAGCCTCAATCCATTCGACTGCATCCATTCCAGTACAGTCTCCAGGCATGAATTCAAAATCTACATGACTACCATTTAAGAAACGTATTTAATATTCCTTTCGATGTGTGGGTAAGAGACAAGGTGGAAGGAAGAAAACTGGAAGAGAAAGCAAGCGACGCTGTTTCCCTGGTTCTCTGCCTCCTGGCTGGATCCGACCGCTTGCCACAGATCCTCTCAAGGCGACTTCTCACTCTGCGCCAGCCTCTCCAAGCCCTCCCTCCCAAGCTCCATGCAATGCCACTGCTCTGACTCGGTGGTGTCGTGCGCCCCAAGGCGGGTGTAAAAAGCCTTGGCCCGGGCGTTCCACTCCATGGTCACAAACTTTATCTCTACACAGCCGGCTTCCAGGGCCATCTGCATTGCAGGAGGAAGAGGAGGAGGAGGAAGAGAGAAACCAGGTGAGGAAAGAGATCACCTGTTCAAGAGCAACACAGCGACAATTCTCCCCCCACCCCCAAGCTGCTGGAAAGCACATTGAGCCTGGCTAAAAACATCAGAATAAAGTATTTGGGGCAGGATCCTATTGATATTCACGTAACACTTCTGCAGTACTGGCTAATGGAGGCTAATTTGTGAGGTGCCCGGGTTGAAGTCTACCCCAGTTGCGGAGCTAAGCCTGTAACCGAGGACCCCACTCAGGCATTAATTCGCCCCAATTCGCTGCAGAAAGTTCTGCAAACTGATTGCACACCCCGACCAGATTGGGGTTTCCATATCTCTATAAAAAACAGCTTTTTTTCTTTTAAAAACAAACAACAAAAACAAAACTCAGTAACGAACTGCCTCCTTTACTCCAGGGTGAAATCAATCCACAAAAGCTTTCAAAGAGCTGGACTGCGTTCGAGCAAAGGTACACATCCTTCCGCTTCTAGGATGGAGCCCAGAAGCAGCGCATGGATGCAACCATGCCCTCCCACGGTGGTCCCCCAGGAAGTCTCTGAAATGGACGCCTGCAGAGTTCAGTCGCTGCTATCTGTGCGCCGTAACTCCTGTTATTACTGTTAGGAGAAACGAGGCCATCCTGTATTTCGGGAATAAATAACTTACCTCTGCCACTTTGCTCAATAACTGTCTTCCGATCCCTTTACCTGAGAGAGAGAAAAATGCAGTGAAATCAAGAAGGCCAGGATCCCCTTAGCGATGCGCATAAGTGATTTTATTAATTTAGGCATTTAAAATATTTTTACCCCGTCTTTCTCCCAGAAGAGTAACCCAAGGGGTCTTACAGAATTAAAAAAACAATACAAGGCTCATCAAGGGAGACTCGGTCTCCGAGAGAGCTTGGGCTCCAGCTGTTTAGGGCTTTATAGACTGTGTAAATCTCAGCAGCAAATTGCTGCTAACGAATGTGACTAGCCATATTACGGGTTGCGTTGCCCGTCTTGCGATGGACCGCACAGAGGGTGAGACAGTCAATGCTTTGTTAATTAGCATCCATTTGTCACTGTGATCCCTGCCATTTCGCCTGCTTTCCGGCGTAAAGGGCTAATAGGATTCTGGCCTGAGAGGTGCAAAAAGATCAAACGAGATCCGATTCCTAAGGACACGCCGGGATTCCACATTCAGCCACTGAATGAATGACACAGAATCCTATCAGCCAGCCACTTCCCTCCAGCTTACAAAACCTCATAAATCTGGATGCATAGAATATTTGCCAACATTTGAATGGAAACATTGGCCTAATTATGATCAAATGCATCACTGTGCAGAGTAGCAGGCGCCTACCCATTATTATTACTATTAGCAGCAGATCTGAACCACTAGAGAACTCAGTGGTTTAGATCCAGAGGTTGGGAGTTTGATTCTCCGCTGTGCCTTCCGGGAGAAGAGCCAGCCTGGGTGGCCTTGGAGAAAAACTGCACGGTGGTCCCAGCACACACACCCCGCCGGTAGAAGGGAAGGGGAAACTACTTCCGAGTCTTCTGTACTTAGAAAATCCCGGAAAGGGTCGCCGTAAGTCAAAATTGACTTGACAGCACATCATGATGAATATTAATTATTCAAATCGCAGTATAAAAGAAAAGAGAGTTAAGATCTTTAATCCGATCAGGATTGCTCCTGAAAAAGGAAGCAAAACCATGAGAGGTCTTCAGCAACTTTACTCCTTCGTTGCATTAAGCTATGCCGGAAATAATCAGCCCCTTCAAGGCTCCCAAGTGCCTTTTACCTACTTAAAAGTAGGAAAATAGGATCTTGGTGAAATATGCCCCTGGCATTACGAGAGTTGCTCCTGCTTTACTTATAGCTGTGTTGTAGCTTCCTTCTGTGTTTTTTTTTCTCCTAAAGTTCTTTTTATTATCAGCAGTTAGGCAAGTTTTATTACACAGATAAGCGTTTTATGATTACTTTCTTTTCTTTGTTTTTTTGCTCATATTGCAGACATTTTCTTCCAGGTTCAGAGTCTGAGAAGCTAGCTGTTTTTAACATCTTTCTCCTTCCTGAATCAGGAGCTTAAAAACTCTTTTGTTCTTTTCTTTTCTTTCTTTCTTTCTTTCTTTCTTTCTTTCTTTCTTTAATCCTCCCTCCCTTCCATGGCACACCTCTGCCTGGGCAGCTGGTGTCCCATGACCACATATTCCACCCCCTTCAATGGATGCCCTCACATACCTCTGAATTCAGACACCACGTACAGATTTTCGAGGTAGACGATCCTTCCATGAATGACGCTGTATCCGAAAAAGAACAGAGCGTTTTCTTTCTTTCTTTCTTTCTTTAATCCTCCCTCCCTTCCATGGCACACCTCTGCCTGGGCAGCTGGTGTCCCATGACCACATATTCCACCCCCTTCAATGGATGCCCTCACATACCTCTGAATTCAGACACCACGTACAGATTTTCGAGGTAGACGATCCTTCCATGAATGACGCTGTATCCGAAAAAGAACAGAGCGTGGCCGATAACATGGGCTGTGTTAGGGGACAAAACACAGGGCCTCTTCACATTTTGGAACAGGTGATAGCTGAAGGCTAAGGGTCGCCGTAAGTCAATTTTAAGTGATTCATATTCTTTTTAAGTGATTAATAATAATACCCCTTCATGGATGGCTGCTTTGTCATGACGAAGAGGGTTGAGTCATTCAGAGAAGCTATGGGCTAGGCCGTACAGGGATACCCAAGATGGACAGGTCCTAGTGAAGAGTTCTGACTAAATGCGATCCACCTGGAGCACGAATTGGCAAACCACTTCAGTAGCTTTGCCAAGAAAACCCCATGGACAGAAACAAAATTCTAAAAGTTAGGATGCTGGAAGATGAGCCCCTCGGGTCGGAAGGTGTCCAACATGCTACAGAGGAAGAGCAAAGGACAAGGACAAGTAGCTCCAGAGCTAATGAAGTGGTCGGGCCAAAGCCAACGTGCCTGGAAGTGAAAGGAAAGTCCGAGGCTGCAAAGAAAAATACTGCATAGGAACCTGGAATGTAAAATCTATGAACCTTGGGAAGCTGGAGGTGGTCAAACAGGAGATGGCAAGGATAAACATCGACATCCTGGGCATCAGTGAACTAAAATGGACAGGAATGGGCGAATTCAGCTCAGATGATTATCATATCTACTATTGTGGGCAAGAATCCCATAGAAGGAATGGAGTAGCCCTCAAAGTCATCAAAAGAGTAGGAAAAGCTGTACTGGGATATAATCTTAAAAATGACAGAATGATTTGAATATAAATCCAAGGCAGACCTTTCAACATCACAGTAATCCAAGTTTAGGCACCAACCACCGAGGCTGAAGAGGCGGAAATTGACCAAGTCTATGAAGACTTACAAGACCTTCTAGAACTGACACCAAAGAAAGATGTTCTTCTCATTCTAGGGGACTGGAATGCTAAAGTAGGGAGCCAAGAGATAAAAGGAACAACAGGGAAGTTTGGCCATGGAGTTCAGAACGAAGCAGGACAAAGACTAATAGAGTTTTGTCAAGAGAATAAGCTGGTCATCACAAACACTCTTTTCCAACAACACAAGAGGCGACTCTACACATGGAAATCACCAGATGGGCAATATCAAAATCAGATTGATTATATTCTCTGCAGCCAAAGATGGAGAAGCTCTATACAGTCAGCAAAAACAAGACCTGGAGCTGACTGCGGCTCTGATCATCAGCTTCTCATAGCAAAATTCAAGCTTAGACTGAAGAGAGTAGGAAAAACCACTGGGCCACTCAGGTATAATCTAAACCAAATCCCTTATGAATACACAGTGGAAGTAAAGAACAGATTTAAGGAACTAGATTTGGTGGACAGAGTGCCTGAAGAACTTTGGATAGAGGCTCGTAACATTGTCCAAGAGGCAGCAACGAAAACCATCCCAAAGAAAAGGAAATGCAAGAAAGCAAAGTGGCTGTCCAACGAGGCCTTAGAAATAGCAGAGAGGAGAAGGGAAGCAAAATGCAAGGGAGATAGGGAAAGTTACAGAAAATTGAATGCAGACTTCCAAAGAATAGCAAGGAGAGACAAGAGGGCCTTCTTAAATGAACAATGCAAAGAAATAGAGGAAGATAACAGAAAAGGAAAGACCAGAGAGCTCTTCAGGAAAATTGGAGATATTAGAGGAACATTTTGCGCAAAGATGAACATGATAAAAGACAAAAATGGGAAGGACCTAACAGAAGCAGAAGACGTCAAGAAGAGGTGGCAAGAATACACAGAGGAATTATATCAGAAAGATGTGGATATCCCGGACAACCCAGACAATGTAGTTGCTGACCTTGAGCCAGACATCCTGGAGAGCGAAGTCAAGTGGGCCTTAGAAAGCCTGGCTAACAACAAGGCCAGTGGAGGTGATGGCATTCCAATTGAACTATTTAAAATCTTGAAAGATGATGCTGTTAAGGTGCTACATTCAATATGCCAGCAAGTTTGGAAAACTCAACAGTGGCCAGAGGATTGGAAAAGATCAGTCTACATTGAAGCTGAGGCTCCAGTACTTTGGCCATCTCATGAGAAGAGAAGACTCCCTGGAAAAGACCCTGATGTTGGGAAAGTGTGAGGGCAAGAGGAGAAGGGGGACGACAGAGGACGAGTTGGCTGGACAGGGTCATCGCAACAACCAACATGAATTTGACCCAACTCCAGGAGGCTGTGGAAGACAGGAGGGCCTGGCCTGCTCTGGTCCATGCGGTCACGAAGAGTCGGACACGACTTAACGACTAAACAACAACAACAACAACAACAACGAAATAAAACAAGAATCCCTTTGCCAATTAGGACTGATAAGAGACTGGCATTTAAAAAAAAAATTCTGCCAAGATATACCTAAGAATGTTCTTACAAGTCACTTTCAAAAGTAACTAGGAAACATGAGTTGTTACACCAAAAGAATCTATGCAGTGAATTGTTGTACAGTATTAATCTAGAAATACAATTTCATTGTCCTTTTGTCACACACACCCCGAAGTAACCAGTTACAGTCAATTGTTTTGCTTCTAACTAGTTATTTGCAAGGTCTGTCCATTTTGTACTCTGATGTAATGTACAATTCGAGCTTTGATAAAGTTTACAGCAGCGTGCAGGAAAGGAAAAGCAGAGCAGAGCGGAGATGGGAAATGCTTCCTTCTCATACTACAACACCCACCATCCCCAGCCACAAGCCATCTTGGTTGGGGGATGCTGGAGTTATAGTCCCAAATCTAAGGTTTCCCAGTTCTGAGGAGACTCTTAGAGCTGAAAGAACGTCAGGTGTAAAGTCCATCTCGGCTTTCCTGAGTTCCTGCTGGACTCTTCTGACATTTTTCTGACATTGACTAAGGGTGAAGAAAACAGTCTATGCACTGTGGGTCCTCATCCCCCCTTTAATTAAATCGTACATTTATGTTTATCCTGCAGACTCTCTGACTACATATCCAAATCCGTGGCTTGACAACTGCCAAAGGAACGACGCCACCCCCCCCCATATTTTGTAATCTAGAACAAAGCTTGGAAGCATGTCCTTCTTTGGGACTACAACTCCCAAGACTAGCTGGCTGGGGGATCCTGGGAGTTGTAGTCCCCCCCCAAAAAAACCCCAACACCTCACTGTTTTTAAACTCTGGCTAAGAATAATTCTCACAGGAAATCTCAGAGGGCTCTGGGAAAGCATCGGATGTTTGTAGTCCCCCCCCCAAAAAAAAAAATCCCAACACCTCACCGTTTTTAAACTCTGGCTAAGAATACTTCTCACAGTCATTCTCAGAGGGCTGTGAGAAAGCATAGGATGGGTGTGTGTGAGGAAGGGGTTACCTTGCTGGCATCCGTTCCTCACGGGTCTCTCTGCCAGGATGCATTTGTAGAACGGGTTCTTGCCAAAGCCGTCTGCTTTTAAAACTGGAGTTGGAGAGACACGGTCAGAATAGAACAAGCGGAAGATTCATGTCCCAGGGAAAAGAAAGAAGCTTTGTTTTGGGCTCCCGACAGTGTTTCCAGGGGACGTGAAGGGGGAGAGAAACAAGTCTGTGTGAGGCTAAATGAGGGAGGCTAAATGAGGGAGATTTTCAGGTGGGGTCCCAGTTTGTGGGGTGAAAACGAAGGACCTAGGAAGCTGGTGCTACAGGCCCTGCGTATTCCGGGATAGCAGCTGGCCGAGCCAGAGACAAGCAACGCCAACGGCTTCTGGATTCAGGGCACGATTGGAAGTTCAACCAACTTTCACATCACGACGAGCCCCGGGGAAAGCAGAAATAGGGACGGTTTTCCCGCCCCGAGAGCAAACAAAGGCCTACATGTGCTTGGCGTAAAAATGGGGGTGTACATTTGGGCAGGGAGGGAGTGGGTCACCAAACAGAACCAAACATAGAACACCTTACCTTCTGAATTGATTGTTACCTCGCCTCCCAAGTGATGATAGTCAGCAATTTCCTGGAGGGGGGGCAGAACAGACAAGACACAACATCTGGTGACCGTCTTCCCCAAAGCTTGGGAAAGTGACCTTTTTGAAACGATTGCTCTCCCAAAATCTCTGAGCTAGCGTGGCTCCTGGAACGTACAGGCCAAGAAAGGAGCTTTTGCAGAGCCCCCCAAGGTTTGGGGGCAACGAAGGGCATCTGTCACCCTTTCCCTCTTTACGGGCCATGTCGGGAACAAACAGGGGCCTTCCGCCTTTGGAAGCGAAAGATCTACGGATGACGCACTCCCTTCATTTAAGGTCAACTAGAACTCTCCTGCACCGCCCTGTTAATCCCACATTAAAAAGCATCACTCTCACAGCTGGCGCATGCGCTGGCGGGAAAAGGTTCTCTTACTTGCATACCTAATGCCAGATGTGAGAATCAAGAGGCCGGAGCTCCCCTGAGCAGAGGTGGAGTGCATTTTCCTTCACCAGGAAAGAGAGAGAAGGGAGGGGATGGAACCAGAGGCCGGAGCAAGGATGGAACGTGGAGGGATGCTCAAAGCAGAGGACCATGAAAGTGGAGTCAATTCAGCGTTCTAGGTGCCGACTGGGGGGTGGACTCACCTTTATTAAGCTCATCAAACATTCGCAGTCTTCGCTGGTGGCTTCTCGGATGGCACACTCCATGTTTCCAGGAGGATGATCGACTCCGAACTTCACCTAGGCTCTGGAGGTAGATATCTTTTATAGTTTCCGAGCTCCCACGTGACTGGGATTCTTTTATTGGATCATGTCCAGGCGGGTTGCAGAACGAGAGAAAAAAGGTCACCCAGCGTTCAGGAAACACTCCTTTCCTCCTCCCCACGACCAGAGGCTTGTTTGGCTAGGGATCTGTTAGTACGGTGAGAGCGAACAGCCACCTCAAGTCCCAGCGACCTACATGGAGGAACTTTATCCTTTTATAAGATGGGAAATGTCCTGGTTAACGTCCTTCTGATTGACCCCTTCAAGGAAGAAGTTCGACGCCTGTACTCAGAGCTTGGGAAAGCTCCTTTTCTGGATTATTATCGATTGATTGATTTGATTTCTAATTCCGCCGTCTAGCCGAAGGCCTCTCTGGACGGCTGACACAACCGAGGGGGTAAAAACAACAATTAAAATCAATTATAAAAACATAAATCATCAAACGACACATCTATAACTCAGACAATAGAAATAATAAACCATTCAAATACATACTGCAACAGTTAAAAAAACAGCTAAACATTTAAATTGCTGGTGATTTGAGAGTATTTCAGCTGTAGCTGCAGTTTAGGTAATCTCCGTAAGCGGGATATTTTTGAAATGCCTGCCAAAATAACTGGGTCTTTAGCCATTTGCTTAAGATGACACCCTAAATCACCCCCACCCCAACCAATTAGCGTGGACTACATTTCCCATACATACTCACAGACTCCAAAAGGAGCATGGCAGATAATGATGGAGTTCTGGGACTTGTAAAGAAAGCTGCCTGAAATCTTTGGGGAGTTGTCCTTTAAGAAAAAAAAATAGCAATAATGAAATATGTCTATGTCCAGCATATTGCTCAGTTACTCATTAACCAAACAATCTAAAACTCAGGGTTGTTAGCTCACCAGCTCAGGACCAAAAGTTCTGGGCCTTTGGAACAATCGCTTTGGTACAGTTCCATAAAAGCGTTGAGGCAGAATAAAGAAATCAATTTGATGCACGACAGATTGCATCAAAGGCAGAGCAAACAAAGCTAATCTTACAGCTGC